GTAACCCTCTCATATCTTATGGTGAAAAGAAATATGATAAATGGATAACAAAAAATGAATTTACAACTCATCTTGAAATGAATTAGGACAAAAAATTTTAAGTTAATTTCACATATGTATGAGGCTTCCTCTCCAGGAACTCAGAGTTAGGAAAAAACTAAAAACATTTTATCGCATTTGAACTTACGAGTCTAAAAAAGTACATGAAAGATGTTCAGATGTTCTTTTCTAGGTTATACTTCATGTGCTATTCCATATAAATGCAGATTTTTCATTCTCCTTGTAAAGGCCGTAGAATTTTGTTGTAGAAACGCCTAGCATAAATTAAACTGTAAATTAAATTTCATTCCATAGGAAAGTTCTGATATAGTGATGTCACAGTGTTGGCAGATTCATCTTCACTGTGGATTGTGCTTTTAATATTGCACATGCAGTGGGAAGATTTGATGTAACTTTAAATTCCAGAGTAATGGTAGGACAGGGCGAGGGTGGTGCAACTTTAATAAACAAAGGCAGCATGGGCAACCCATTAAAAGGATAATAGAATTTAAATTCAACTCACTAAGCTAGAAATTTCTGATCAGTGTTCTATTCTCAGAAATTTGCTTTTTAAAACTCTTTCTAGAAACACCATTCTAACGGTGAGATTTTCAAAGCTAGTTTTGAGATTATGATTGTGGATGGAAAAATTTTATGAAACTCATTAGTGAAGTGATGTTACTTGTACAGATGAAAAACACATCAGCTATAAAGTTCTGTCAAGGTACTGTTGACCTAGGTGCTAATAATGTGTTAATTTCCATCAGGGAAACAGCAAATTATGGCACTTGGGCAGCAGATAGGACTTAGCTATTTTTCATTAGCACTTGGGCTTTGATAAAGGGGAATAGAAAAGAGCTGCTTGACCTTTCAGCGCTTAAATTATTAAAGAGCAAATAGATTTGAGGTCTGGATGCTTGCAAATCTAATTTGTCTTGTGGAGCAAGGATGAAAAGACATTTTGGGTTTGAAATTGCTCCAGTCAACTTAGTTCTTCCTTTAATATATCTGAAGATGAGTGGATGGTAGCCATTTAAAAACCAATATATCTGGAGTAGAGTGTATAATAGAACCCATGCCAACTGGCTAACATGGAGGCCTGTCTAATGATCATTTAATTCTTAAATTTTCACTTAATCCTCATAAAACTGCTGCTTGAAACAAATGATTTTTTTCATGTTTGCTTAGATAATATTTATATTGCAAAACAAAATTTTGTATCGTTAGAGAACGTCAAACATTGTGTTGTTTAAAATAAACTCAAACAGTGCCTGACACCTATTAGGCACTCAAAAAATATTCGTTGAAATAATAAATCAGTGTACACACTCACACATCACACCTATGAGCCAGGTTAGGAGAGGGGAATGGGAAGTGAGAGATGGAGGTGCAGGGGGCACATGGAGACATAGCATTTGATTCCCTTAGGTTCATTATTTAATTGTGGGTTATCCAGGATAAACTAAAATATAACTAGCATCCTGTTATCATAAAACCTTTTCCTTGGTCATTGCTTTCTTTTTGGCTCTTGAGTATTTGGGAAATGAATACAAAATAAACTTCACATTAAATTTTAATAAGGCAAAGCATCGTCTTGACTATCGGTGTGCTTTCTCCCTCCTGGTACATAGAATGTGTAATATACCCCCAAACCAAATAGAAGCTACTTAAGGATTATAGCATGCTTTCAGAAATATGTACTTCACAGCCAAAGTGTCATGAGACACAACAGTGACTAAACCTTTGCCCTTCTCCGTCAGAAGCTTATAGGACTTTTGAGAATAGTGATACAAGGACACAAAATGGCTATGTCTACATAGAAAACATGTTTTTGTGAGTTTGGAGCAGAGCAAGAGGACATGAAAATGAGGAAACCGACTCTAGGCCATTGAGAGAGGGTCATTGAGGGTCTCAGTTTTAGGACATAGGGCATCTGAGAGTAACTAGAGTTCATTGCCTTGAAGGGAACCACATTTAAGTGACAAACGTGAGTCCAGGCTAGGGTGAAGGAATAGATGCAAAGATGTTTGCGGTAGGAGAATCTAGGATCTTGGGACATGGAAAGTCTAGGAGCAGCTGTGCTGCTTTTTTGTCTAGCGGGGTTATAACAGGAGGGAGCTCCTTGCAGGTTGAAAGAGGTAGGAAGATCACAGTGCTCAGAGGACACCAGCCAGGTGCTAAAGTCACTGTGGAGCCCAGGAGAATGTCCTCCCTGAAAGCAGTTAATGACTCAGATACAGATGACAGAAGGAATTGAGGTCAAAGCCAACATTATCATCTATAACTTCCTTGATGTGATAAGTGTGAATCTTTACAATACTCAAAATAAATTGATTGTGGAAAGTCGATGGAGACTAGCTTATGTGTTGGTTGTGTGTGCAGGAGCAAGTGAAAATTCCCTTCAGGCCAGGTGGTTCCCATGAGTGCCTTCACTGGACTTGTGAGTAAGGAATGTCAGTACAGCCTGGTCTGATGATTAGGAGACCTGGCTCTGCTGTCAGACCACCTCTGCCCCTTCAGTAGAATGCCCTGGTAAAATGGCACTTCACCTCTAGACCTTAGTTTTCACATTAGGAAAACGGAGAAATAAAATCTGTGTGCATTGGGCACCTGGCCTAGCATTTCCGGTGTGGAATATCTGCAACTATGTTTTCTTCACACATATCCTTATTTTCCTGCTTTGTCTAGTATATGGATTTCCCAGAAGTTGTTTTTAAGTTGAAGTTTTGAAAATCATGTCATACAGCAAATGAACCAGAAAAAAGATTTCAAGGAAGTGATGTTAAAAATTATTTTATTGGCCAGGAGCAGTGGCTCATGCCTGTAATCCCAGCACTTTGGGAGGCTGAGGCAGGCAGATCATGAGGTCAGGAGATCAAGACCATCCTGGCTAACACGGTGAAACCCCATATCTACTAAGCATGCAAAACAAAATTAGCCAGGCGTGGTG